TTCAAACCCACCAGCCACTCCTCGGAAGGAAGGTTGGGCAATCCTACTCCCATAGTGATACTGCCTCGGAAACCCAAGGAGGGGTTGCTATGAGTCGGGTTTGACTTGACGGCACATAACAACAACAACAATTTTTATTCATTGCCTTAAAGTTGTAACAAAAACAAAAATATTTGCAGAAGAAAAAAATAAACTGACAGTCTAATACATTGATCTATTAAATGCGTTTCTCTGCATGTTCTCATTCAGTCATTGTTTATGTGGATGCATGTTGTTACAAATTCTAAAATACAAATATAATTTTAGTCCCCTGTTTTCATGTAATATTTTTTATAAATACTTTATCTATTGGTAATACTTTTAAATAGCATTTTTAGTGAATACATAGTGTTTTTGAGTAAATGTGCCTTAATTTATTCAATCATTGCTATAGTTTGCTAGAAGTTTGTGCTATTTTCAGTCTTCTGCTATATTAAATCAATTTTCCACAGTGTCTGTCTTTTAACATAAAGGCTGAAGCTTGGAGTCGTGTTTCTTTTTTTTAAATACAAATTCCACTCAAGCTTATTCTTTGCTTGAGAGCTCTCTGGAAGGTAGAAACTAATTAAATACTTATAGCAGAAATAAATGTGGAAGAACTCATAAAATGGCCAGAATGACATGTAACAGGATGAAGGGGGCGGGTCATTGTTCTTTGAGAAACAAGTAGGTGCCTGTTTTGTTTTGAAGGAAAGCAACGATTTCATGATTTGAGTAAGAGGAGAGAAGTCACAGAGTAGAACCCTGGAGTGGAGTCAGGGCTATAGTGTCCTTTCTCCCTTCCTAAAAGTTCTCTAGGAGCTCTGGTAGCGTAGTGCCTAAGGCACTTGACTGATAACCAGAAGGCTGGCGGTTCAAACCCACCAGCCGCTCTTCAGAAGGAAGGTTGGGCAATCCTACTTGCCTCGGAAACCCAAGGAGGGGTCGCTATGAGTCGGGGCCGACTCGACAGCTAATAACAACAACAACAACAACAACAACAGTTCTCTGGAAGTTTAGAGAGGGTGAAGCCAGAAAAGAGCCACCTTGGCTAGAAGAAAGGCTGGAAAGCCTTTGACACCAATTATTAATCTGACTGGCTTTTACACAAGAGGATATATGAATTTTCCACAAAGATGGGCATAAGGACAGAGTAAATGTAAAACTAGGAATGATAGTAATGGAAGAGATTAAACTCTACCCACTTGTTTCCTTTCAAACCAATGATCCTCTCCCATCTTCTCAGGATTTCTGTTAGAGGCTCCTAACTAGTTCCCTTCCTTCTGCTTTGCCCTTGCCAATCTTTACATTGCAATCTTTACATTATTATACATGATCTGGCTCCTGTTCACCTCTCCAGCCTCATTTTCACCCTCCACACTCTATCTCCCCCCCCATGCCCACCACACATACTGTTTCAGCTACAACACTTTTCTGTCTTTCAAACCCACTATGCCCTTCCTCACTTTGATTGTTCATACATAATTCTCCCTCTGCCTGAAATACTCCTCCATTCGCCCAGCTAGTTTCTATTCATTTTCAGCCCTCAGCTAATATGTTACATCCCGATGAAGAAATTCTTTCTCTTCCAGTCTGGGAATTCCCATTACACATTAAACCAAAAACCAAACCAACTGCCATGGAGCCAGTTCCTACTCACAGCAACCCCTCATTGGATTGCTGTGGAGGTTATGCTTTTGTGTCAACTTGACTGGGCCTGGTTGAGTGGCTGGGCAGCTGGTGGTAGTTATTCCCCATGATGAGACTGGCAGTCAACTCCATTATGGGATCTACCACAAGCAGCTGAGTAGCTGCCTTTGGGATGTGGTCTGCTTCCTTATATAAAGAAAACCTTTGAAAATGGTCTCTAGCCTATGGCACGCTTGGAGCCTGCATGTAGCCATGTCATTGTTCAGCAGCCTGCCATGCTTTGCCAACCTTGGGACTTACAATGAACTGAATTAATGGCCTGCCATGTGGTTTGGTAACATCGGGACTGTGCCTTTTTATTTGTCAACCTTGGGCTTCTCAGCCTCAGCAGCCAGCAGCTGTCTGAGTAAAGAAAAGCCTCAAGCTCCAGTGGGCCAGGAGCAGGAGGCAGGTTAAGGGACTTTCACCCTGCCCCTAGAGCCTGGCGCTTTGAACTTGGACTTAAAGCCTCCAAAATGTAAGAGAATAAACTCCTGTTTGTTAAGGCCATGCCATTTGTTGTTATATAGTCTTGTCAGAGTGGTACTAGGTAACCAGAATAGTTGCTGAGGTGGTAAACCTTTACAGAAGTAGATTGCCCAGTCTTCTGTCCATGGAATGGCTGGTGAATTTGAACTGCCAACCTTCTGGTTAGCAGTCAAATGCCTTACACACTGTGCCACCAGAGCTCCTTCATTACACATTATATGCCTTTTATTATGATTTTTAGTCACAATATATTAAAATTATAGGAGCTCTGGTAGCATAGTGCCTAAGACATTTGACTATTAAGTAGAAGGTTGGCAGTTCAAACCAACCAGCACTCCTCAGAAGGAAGGTTGGGCGATCTACTTCTGTAGTGATACCACCTTGGAAACCCAAGGAGGGGTCGCCATGAGTCAGGGCTGACTTGACAGCACATAACAACACAACAACAACATATTAAAATTGCCTGTTTCTCTTGTATATCACTATAATATGAGCCTCAAGGGTTCAAGGACCTTTTTCATTTTTGAACCCTATTTGGCATACTCCCTGGTACCTATAGAGGATCAATATAATATTTTCTATATTATTCAAGATATGAAATGCAGTAGTTACTTTGCCGTAAGTTTTGTTATTGAATATACTATTATTTTCTGGCTTATATCTAGGTTACATTAATAGAAAACAAGGAATTATCTTTAGTTCGTGCTAAGAAGAGAAGTGATGAACTAGGTCTAAGCAACATTTGGTTCATTCAAGCCAATATGGAATATTTTACAGGAATGTTTAATATTGGGGTGAGTACTCAAACTATTTCCATTGCAATTGAAAAATATATACCTTAAGAGTAAATAAAAGGGGTATTTTTATATTCTTTGCTAAACAAAGCTATTTTTTTCTAAAATTTATAAAATATAGCATATTGATGAATATTAGCTTATTCATAATATTTCATCATTGTATAATGGAGATACTATTTCTTCCCTTCAGGTAAGACCTTTGTTTTCTTCACTGCAGAAACTGCAGTGCCTTGAACAGTGTTTAGCGCATATAAGTGCTTACAAAGTAGTTGATAACTGAATGCATGAATTCTGATTAATATGGCTTGCCTCAGTTTATTTTGTATTTTCAGAAGACAAAGAAAAGAAAAACAAACATGATAATAAAAGAAAAATAGCTTTTTAGTAACCTCCAAATAATGAATTTCCTTTGTATGATATTTTATTTAGCTAAAATTTGATACTACGTGTATTTTTAATTTCCAAGAGACAGAAAGATTACCAGTCATGTTTATAAATCCTTTAGATCAGATCATTATTATCTGATATTCCTAACAAAGATCTAACATATGTAATTCTGCCAGCACATTTAAAGCCAATATCTCTTGCTCTTATGTGGAATATAAGTTTCATTAAGTTGTTACTGTTGCTGCTGGTCCTTGTTTTTGTTTTAAATGATTTTTCCCCCACCCCACCCCCAGTTTTGATAAGAATATATACTCAATATAAAAAAACACATAATAATAAAAAGAAGAAATTATTGTATTCCCATGACTCTGAAATAAATGCTGTTTTGTCTTTATCTGTTTTTTTCACTCATGCCAATATATATTTACACATATTTTAACATTATTGAAATCATATTATATAGATCCTGCTTTAAGTGATCATTGTCATAAATCTTTTCCCTATTCATTAATTATGTTACTTTTTTTCTCCTTGTTATAATGTAATTTTGACTATGCTGAATTATGCATTAGTCTTTATCTGGATTTCTTCTTTCCATAGATGAAATATTTAAAAGTTGAATTACTGGCTAACAAGCATTGCTTAAGGCTTTTGTTAGATACCTTTACCAAGTCACTTCCCAGGAGAGTTACACTAATTTGCATCGCCAACTGTGTATATTCACATACATTAGCTAAGTGGACCTTTTGTTCATCTTTAGAAGCTCAGATTTTTTGTAGTACTTCTGGTATTTATTTTGTCTAGTGAAGTTCATTTAATTCTTAAATATTGACTACTGCATTTGTTTTATTGTTTTTATAGCCTCAAAGGGGAGCAGTTCTTTGTAGACATGATATAGATTAGTGATCTCAAGCCAAGCCTATGCAAAGAGAAGTGAACTGTTAATAAATAAATTCAGAAAAATAAACATCTGAGCCAGAAAATTCACATTAAAAATATATATACTTATGTTGAGTTTTAATTTTATATAAATATTGAGGTAAAGGCTAGATCTTCTCCCAAAAAACAAACCATTAATCCAATCTCCATGTTACCAACATACCAGGCAGACTGTTTAAGGTAGCAAGATACTGTCCATTTACTTACCTCTGAAAACATAAAGTCCCCACTCTATCAACCGTTCATCTGTTTACCTTTCCCTGGCTTATAGATGCTGAATCACTCTGGAATATTCTTACAACTTCCAAAGTGATAATTCAGTAACACCAACTAAGTATGTAGATGTCTTTTTGGAAGTGATGAACTAGGTTGAAGCAGCATTTCCTCTACATTTCATAGTACTATTTCCTTGATTTTTTTAAATATATTTTTTCTCCTTTAATTACCTTCATCAAGGTATATAGAAAATGAACTAACCTTACATAAAGGGTTAAGCCAAAATTAGATTCAGTCTCAAGAAATAATTGCCTAGAAGGGAAATTGAAGTATTATCACTAGATAAATCAGACTAAATGAACCAGTGCCTGTAACTCCTTTTATTAAATAGATTCCAGTGCAAAAATGTGGCTAGAAAGGAAATCAGAGTAACCAATTATTGGAAATGCATTAAAAGGGCATTAATCCATGATTTTGTTATATTTCAAATAAGGCCTTGGTTGACATTTATCTTTGCCTAGTAACTGCTTTTCACTTTTACTATTTTTCTTTAGCAATAAAAATGAATAATCTAAATGAGATTTTAAGGACAGAACTTGAAGCTCATGAAACCAGCTATCTTTAGGAACTTCAGATAAATTATATATCAGAATTGGCTATTGTTTGCCTTGCCTCCCTCATTAACACAAAACTTGTCTCAGGCAAAGGTAAATAGATTAATACTCATTCTTATAACCTAGCTGATTTGAAATAATACCAAAGGGAGCAAATCTGAATATTTTCAGATTTTTCATCAAAGTCTTCCAATACCCTCTCTTACTATCCCTCCTCTATGTAACCAGACCCAATGAAATAATACTATTTGTTTCAAAAAATCATTTTGCAGTTTCTGATAAACATTCTGATTATTTGAGAAACATATTTCTTTAGAAATACAAACATCTAATAAGCTGAAGCTGAAAGCAATTAAAACAAGTCCACAAGACCATATATACAACAGAATGAAACACTGCCCAGTCATGTGCCATCCTCATGATCCTTGCTATACTTGAACCTATCTGTGGTCTAGTAAATTACATGATATGTCTTTTCTAGCCATAGTCTTTATAACTCCCACAGGATTACTGGGTGGGACCATGCAATTTAAACTCCTGATCATTAAAGTTATCCGCCTGGGATTATTCTGTTGGAGCAGCACAAAATAATCTGGGAAGTTCACTGTCTCTTAGGTGTGTAGAATTCTCCACCGAATTACTGGGTGGGACCATGCAATTTAAACTCCTGATCATTAAAGTTATCTACTCGGGGTATTTCTGTTGGAGCAGCATGGAATAATCTGGGAAGTTTGCTTTCTCAGGTGTGTAAATTCTGATGTTGGAATTGATTGGTTTTACCATTCTGTCATGCTTAAAATGAGCCCTCCTCGAGGCAGAAAAGAATCTCTCACTGCCAACTGAGAGAGACATGTTGCTGAGAGAGATGCCCAGCTGAGAGATGGCAGCAGTGGAACCAAGAGACATGAGCAGAGTAGCAAGCTTACCTGGCCCACAGAGGCAGAGGCCAGGCTGAGAGACCAAGGGTCAGAGAGGCATGTCTAAGGACACACAGGGGAAGACTGTCCTAATCAAAGAACTATATCCTGAGAGCATTCCTGAACTTGAATTCTCACCTGTTGCTTCCCTTATAAACTCCATAATCTGTGAGTTCTTTGTGGCCACTGCAGCAAGTTATCGAACCCAGCAGAGAGGTGATGGGTGCCAGGAGAGGAACGGTCGATGCCAAAGTTGATAAGAGGGCTGGAGGATGGAGGGATGTCTGGCCTCATAAGAACAGACCTTGGCCTGCTGATAGTGATTCTGTCTTCCTCTTGTGGAGTTAGAGGAGGTCAGAAGATGCTGCCTTCATGCCCCATTAGCACTGTCATTACAGCCAATCCATCTTGTTTACAATCTTCCCCTTTTTCGCTGACCTTCTATTAACAAGCATGATATCCTTCTCCAGGGACTGGTCCCCTCTGACAACATGACCAAAGTAGGTGAGATGAAGTCTGGCCATCCTCGTTTCCAAGGAGCATTCTGGCTGCACTTCTTCTAGGACAGATTTGTTTGTTTTTCTGGCAGTCCATAGTACTTTCAGTAGTATTCTCTAGCACCACAATCCAAAAGCATCAACTCTTCTTCTTTGTCCAGCTTTCACATGCATATGAGGCAATTGAAACTACCATGGCTTGAATTAGGTGCACCTTAGTCCCCAAAGTGACATCTTTGCTTTTTAACACTTTAAAGAGGTCTTTTGCAGCACATTTGCCCAGTGTGCTACAACATCTGATTTCTTGACTGCTGTTTCCATGGGTGTTGATTGTGGATCCAAGTAAAATGAAATCCCTGACAACTTCAGTCTTCTCTCCATTTATCATGATGCTACTTATTGGTCCAGTTGTAAAGATTTTCATTTTATTTATGTTGAGGTATAATCCATACTGCAGACAGTAGTCTTTAATCTTCATCAGTAAGTGCTTCAAGTCATCTTCACTTTCAACAAGCAAGGTTGTATCATCTGCATATCACAGGTTGTTAATGAGTCTTCCTCCAATCCTGATGCTACTTCCTTCTTCTTATAGTCCAGCTTCTATGGTTATTTGCTTAGCATACAGATTGAATAAGTATGGTGAGAGGATCCAACCCTGATGCACTCCCTTCCTGATTTTAAACCATGCAGTATCCCCTTATTCTGTTCAAATGACAGCCTCTTGGTCTATATACAGGTCCTTCTTCACAGTCTGTCTTAGTCTGGAAACTCCAATGAAACCTGCCCACCATGGGTGACCTTGCTGGTATTTGATATACCAGTGCCAAAGCCTCCACCCTCACAGCAACGTGCAAGCCACCAAAGTACAACAAACTGACAGACGAATGGTGAAAAGGGGTGTGGATGAGCACATTACGAAAGATTGTTTTTGAAATTGTATCATTTTTTAGGATTTTTATTTAAAGAAATATATGATTGCCTTCTTGTCTAGTTAAAATAAATATTCATCATAGTTTTTAAAATTTAATTTATGATATTAAGCTTTTTAAAACCTAATTTACAATGTACATTAATAACCATGCTATCAAACAATATTATGGCAACCAGGTGATAGGGTACTAATACATGTATCCAAATCTCAGAACAGTTTTATTTTCAAATTATCTATACTTACTGTATAATTAATTTTTAATTTACTTTTTAATTAATTACAGTACACCACTTTTTAATAAATTTAAATTAATTGATTTTAAAGGATTTAAATTGTTATGTTTAATTAATTTTTTATTTTAATTACATTAAATTAATGTAATTTAATTTTTAGTATGATTGTGTATTATTTATCATTGCTGAGTGTTTAAGTATATGCTTATTTCTAGTTATATATCATAGTGGAAATTGGAATAAAAAAGAAAACATTGTTATAG